TAGATACCTCGGCCAGCAACACCAGAGATACCTCGGCCAGCAACACCAGAGATACCTCGGCCAGCAACACCAGAGTTACCTTGGCCAGCAGCACTATAGATACCTCGGCCAGCAACACCAGAGATACCTCGGCCAGCAACACCAGAGATACCTCGGCCAGCAACACCAGAGTTACCTTGGCCAGCAGCACTATAGATACCTCGGCCAGCAACACCAGAGTTACCTTGGCCAGCAGCACTATAGATACCTCGGCCAGCAACACCAGAGATACCTCGGCCAGCAACACCAGAGATACCTCGGCCAGCAACACCAGAGTTACCTTGGCCAGCAGCACTATAGATACCTCGGCCAGCAACACCAGAGATACCTCGGCCAGCAACACCAGAGTTACCTCGGCCAGCAACACCAGAGTTACCTTGGCCAGCAACACCAGAGTTACCTTGGCCAGCAGCACTATAGATACCTCGGCCAGCAACACCACAGATACCTCGGCCAGCAGCACTATAGATACCTCGGCCAGCAACACCAGAGATACCTCGGCCAGCAACACCAGAGTTACCTTGGCCAGCAGCACTATAGATACCTCGGCCAGCAACACCAGAGATACCTCGGCCAGCAACACCACAGATACCTCGGCCAGCAGCACTATAGATACCTCGGCCAGCAACACCAGAGATACCTCGGCCAGCAACACCAGAGTTACCTTGGCCAGCAGCACTATAGATACCTCGGCCAGCAACACCAGAGATACCTCGGCCAGCAACACCAGAGTTACCTCGGCCAGCAACACCAGAGTTACCTTGGCCAGCAGCACTATAGATACCTCGGCCAGCAACACCACAGATACCTCGGCCAGCAACACTACCGATACCTGGGACAACAACACCAGAGATACCTCGGCCAGCAACACTACCGATACCTGGGACAACAACACCAGAGATACCTCGGCCAGCAACACTACCGATACCTGGGACAACAACACCAGAGATACCTCGGCCAGCAACACTACCGATACCTGGGACAACAACACCAGAGATACCTCGGCCAGCAACACTACCGATACCTGGGACAACAACACCAGAGATACCTCGGCCAGCAACACTACCGATACCTGGGACAACAACACCAGAGATACCTCGACTAGCAACACTACCGATACCTCGGTTAGCAACACCACAGATACCGCGGCGAGCAACACTACACATTTCTCGGCCAGCAGCACCACAGATACCTTGGCCAGTAACATTACATACCTCGGCCAGCAACACCTGAGATACCTCGGCCAGCAATATCACAGATACCTTGGCCAGCAACACCACATACCTCGGCCAGCAACACTACAGATACCTCGGCCAACAACACCAGAAATACCTCGGACAGCAACACCACAGATTCCTCGGCCAGCATCACCACATATGCTGCGGCCAGCAACACAACAGATTCCTCGGCCAGCATCACCACAGTTACCTTGGCCAGCAACTCCAGAGATACCTCGGCCAGCAACACCAAAGATACCTCGATAGCGTAAATTATGACGTAGAGCGCCCTTTGCACCTGAGTAGGTGAGCCAGGTGTGGCCCACTGCTCAGGTTTAGGGGACGTCCTACGTCAGAGAGGGTGTTGTAGGTGACCCCGTGGGGCCATGCCACGTCAAGCGGGACGTTCTGGGTCAAGGGGGGTTGAAACGGGACGTTCTGTGTCGGTGGGGGTGAAAGGGGTAAAAAAAGGGGGTGTAAGGGTAGGAGGAGTAAGTACAGGACCAGGTGTGCAGCAACACGTGTGTAAGATGAAGGTGTATGTGACGGGGAGGAGTAAGTACAGGACCAGGTGTGCAGCAACACGTGTGTAAGATGAAGGTGTATGTGACGGGGAGGAGTAAGTATAGGACCAGGTGTGCAGCAACAGGTGTGTAAGATGAAGGTGTATGTGACGGGGAGGAGTAAGTACAGGACCAGGTGTGCAGCAACAGGTGTGTAAGATGAAGGTGTATGTGACGGGAGCGTAGAGTTAAGCAGATGTAGATTTATAGTAAGTTAAAAGGCCTGGCCACTAAACAGGATTGTCATCGTCTGGGAACGTGAAATGCCGCCCCCCAATCATCACAAGTTCCTAGGCCCCTACCGGCCAGCCTGTCCCATAACACCCTGGGTGTCCTCAGCTGTCATGTGTTTTAACTGTCAACACTTTGGTCACGTAGCCAAGCACTGCAAATCTTCAGTCACCTGTACCCGCTGTGCAGCCAATCATCTCACTAAAGACTGCCCCATCAAGAATATGTACCAGTGTACACTATATGTAACAGTGTACACTATACGTACCAGTGTTCAATATATGTACTGTTACGGACCCGAGTCCAGCGTCGGAGCACGAAGCCATGAAGTCAGCGCCATCTGTGAGTCGCCAGCCGAAAACCCCGCAACATGGACAACGCCATCTAGTGAGGACGGGATATACTGGCCACATGTGCTGGATTCCCGTTTTAATCAGCTCATAACGTAGCCGCTGCTGATCTCTGGTGAGGTGGCGCTTAAACAGTGAACGCCATCTATGAAGCAAATAGGTGGACGTTTCTGTCTAAGCTAGTAAGTGATGTTTCCTAGTGACCCCATGTAGTATCCCCAGTACTAATGACGTGTCTGATTGCAGAGTCGACCTGGGACTGCTGTATTGGACGATGGATCAGTTTACCCAAGGCAGCCAAGGTCTCTTCACGAGTCTGCTTTGAAGAAGCTGTGAGTCACCCCTGGACGAACTCTGTTGAGAGTGTAATAGCCTGCCTGAGGCGTGGCGGTATCAGGAATCGCCTTATCCGGGGCTGGCTGGTGGAAGAGACTAGCTACTGTGGTGTTTAGTGAGAAGAGTGATCAGCGGGATCACACGAGGCTCCTGCCTAGGGCTCGCAACCCTAGTATTAGTCGTGGAGTGGCCTATACAGCGGAGCTGATCGGTACCTGCCAGCTACAGGCTGGATTGTGGTAGAAGGCCTCCACGACGAAGCACCCAGTGGTACGGTGATTTGGCTGGCCTGTGGCCAGGGTAGATTCGTCATAGAATCATAGTGGATTCATCGTGGGCCACGGAAGAAGGAACCAGGGCTACCCAGAGTGAGCACCGTGGAGCATCTAGTGTCTTCGGAGGAAGACGAACCTGTACATAATAGTGTAGTTATAATCCCCGCATGTGACTGATATTTATTTATTACATGGTGATGTAAATATATATATAAATTGGAACATTTGTATCCCTCCCCCTTTAATTTAACTTGCGTTATGGAACACACCCCTTGAAAGCCTCTACTAACTTGGGGCCGGATTCCCAAACTCTACTACCATCAGAGAAGAACCCGGTTGCGTCCCAGTAGGGCCGTAACATGTACCAGTGTTCATTATGTGTACCAATGTTCACAATATGTACCAGTGTTTAAGCTATGTATCTGTCTCCAAAATATACCTATATGTTCAAGACATTGCATCTACGTTCATGACGTGCAGCTGTGTTCATCATATACACCTGTGTTCCATATATACACCTATGTTCCAAATATACCCCTGTGGTCCATATGGGCATGTGTATTCCATATATACATATGTGTTCCATATATACACCTGTTTCATATATACCCCTGTGTTCCAAATATACCCCTGTGTTCCAAATATACACCTGTTTACTTTTTGGTATCTGTGATTATTATGGGCACCTGTATCCGTGTCATACAGTTCCTAATAAAAGTGCAGGTATGTGAACCACTACAGCAGGAACATTAGTAAGAATATACTGTGACAATAATCTCCTTCAAGAGATTGAGCCTGCTCTTCCCTCTACAATTACGTCGTAACAAACTATATAAAACTACTAGGGAAGAAATGTCCAACAACGACAACATCTCCAAGGTTTGCCAGAGCGCAAAACGTTGCAGCCAGAGACACCTGTTCAGACTCAAACCGCCAAACTACCTGTTGATCGCTACCGGCTCCGCTGATTGGTCGCCGGCCGGGCTGCAACTGCACTCCACCCCCCCATACTACTTGATGTCTGGGGTCGCCACGACCTCAGACCTCAGAATATTCTGTGCTTTCGCAGGTATCACTCCTCCCGGCTAGACGTTAGCGTGTACTGAGAGAGGTGGTAGCTTAAAGCCAATATTCCAGCACCTCCCTTTAATTTTGTGTTGCACTTCTTGTTATTTTATCTTAACGTAACTTTTCATTGTGTCATTTAATTATTCTTATTATTTTGATTGATTGATTTTATTATACGAATTTGTTTGTCCATTTTTTCATGTTTTGATTTATTTAACGTAATTAAAATTTCATTGTTAAAATTTACTTGTGTTTTGTGTGTCTTCTCCTTACCTTACCACAGACGAAGTATCAGTTTTCTATTTTTTTTTATAACTATGTGACGAGGCCATACCCCTAGCCTTAAACAGCCGAACACCAACGCGTTACCGTCACAATACGATGTTGAAACTTTAAGAAACTGGAAGAATCTGTTGAAACCTTAATTAAGAAATTTGTGGTCCATATTAGATTAGATAACTAAAATTAGATAATCAAATCTAAAGTCACTCTGTGATTGACATATTTGAAACAATTAAATAACAATATTTATAATTTGGAAACTATGCGAACCAGTAAAATGTTAAATAATAATAAAGATATCATTCTTAGCAGCAGAAAGTTTAGGCCTGGGAAAAATCATTGTAAATAAGTTTTAAGTCATACCGATTAAAACATTTTCAGTAACTTTAACTCAGACTATAAACTATACCAAATTAAGCTGATCAAATAAGCTGTATTCATTATTATAGTTAGTTCTCAAGACTTCCTTTGTAAAGAGTGTCTAGCAAAGACTAGAAACAGCATCTACTCAAGATATATTGTCAGCTTTTGTCTATGACAACGGAACTATGACTTTGAGTTTAGAAACATTCCATATGGCATTTCCTGTTAAAGTTCTATTAAATGGGATCTCATTGCTAATAATATTAATAAACGTACGAGAAGTTGAGAGCCTGCGCAAGGTAGTCGAGGACGCTAGCAGCGGGCCCCCTGAAGACCAGCCTCCTGCCGTCGGGAGCCTGAGGGTCGTCGACCAGCGCCTCCGTCTGGCCGGGGTACACCTCCCCGGCCACTACTAACGTCGGGTGATGCACGAGTCTGCCAAACATCATTAATTATAGTAATAACGATAAAACCTATTTTAACAACAATATTAATAAAAATAATTAATAAAAAACACAATAATATTATTGTTATTACTAATATTATTTTTAAATATTAACATTTTAATGATAATTATAATAAAAATATTATTGAGAAAACCCATAGGAGCTGAAATGAGGATTCAAACCTAAGCGCTGGGTATTCCCACGGACACGCCCTAGACAACTAGGCCACGACACTGGGCCACTGAAGCCAAACCCGGGTTTCACACACTCCCCCCCCCTCCCATGCACTCTGGCCTTTTCGTCTAAGAATGTTCTACTGCTCATGCCTCCCTTTCAAAGCAGAGAGAAATCACACTAATATGATGATGAGAATATGTGTAGGTGCCGTGATGAGGATTCGAACCTGTGAGGTAGGTATTCTCATGCACATGATTCAAGCAAGTAGGCCATGACATTGGATTCCTGAGGCTTCCAATGAAGTCTCGGGGATTTTGATGGATGAATGGATTTTCTCATTGATACATCACGTAAGTGTGATTACTAATTAACTTTCAATTACTCTGTGATTGAAAGAGCATCGTCAGAAGATGAACATTGCTAGATAACAGAAGCCCTTGTAAATGGAGGGGGGGGGGGATTGTGTGAAAACCCTGGTCTGGCTTCAGAGGAATTGAACTGAATTATCAGGGGAAAGCGCCAAGTCATAACGACTATACAGCACTGGAAGGGGTCAGGATAAGGATTTGGGATGAGACGGGGAGAGGGATATGAGGATAATGAGTTGGTAAAGGAGAGAGGGAAGGAATGGTGCCCAATCACTTGTACGGTCGGAGATTGAATGCCATCCTGCATGAAGAGAGACCGTCACTCTACCGCCCAACCAAAGTGGTTGCCTCAGGAAGTATTGTGTGTTCACTAGAACTCAAAGTTACAATCTTTTTGACCATGTCGTGGCACAGTTGCTTGGAGCGAGTGTCTAGCAATACTCAGCACATAGGCTCGAATCTTCATCATTACACCATAGGACTTTTTAAATGATGCATCACATTAGTGTGATTACTCACTGAATAATAATAATAATAATAATAATAATAATAATAATAATAATAATAATAATAATAATAATAATATTATTATTATTATTATTTATTATTATTATTATCATTATTATTTAATAATAATAAATAATAATAATAATAATAATAATAATAATTATTATTATTATTATTATTATTATATAGTAATGGTAATGTCATCTCACAGACATAATAACAGTAGTTTAAGGCATTTGCTTGGGAGCCCCCAGAGCATAGGGTCGAATCCTTCTCATGGGTCCTAATGATTTTCTCACTGATACATAATTTATGTGATTTCTTTGTGCAAATGATTTTGTGTTCTGGTATTGCGCAAATGCTTCTCTTCCAACATTTTTATCATATTTTGATATATGAAGTAAATACCTTACAAAAGTGTGTCTAATTTTCGAAAGATAAGAAAAAGTGTAGATGCTTGCAGAACTTTAAAGTTAAGATACTCACCTGGAGAACTTGTCAGGGAAGAGTGGGACACTGGAGGTGAGGGCGAGGCCTCGGTGGGGCGTCCAGGAGGCCACCTTCAGCGCCTGGCCTCCCCGGGGGCTGTACGGTAACTGGATGTACACACTGCACCTGTACAGTAACCGAGTACTTTATTTATTAAGTAAATACATATTAACATGTTTGGCTATGTGGAGGGAGCCAAAATTGCCTGCAGGTACGTCCTGCCTCCAGGTGGTCAGAGCAAGATCACCCAGTATTCTAAATAGAACATTATCTTGAGCGCACCAGCACCCGATGGCCCACAAACACTTTTCTTTTGTACCATAAAATGGATAAACAGTTAAATCCGGCCTCGCTGGTGGTGATTGGCTGCACCACTTTCGGGGCAGTGCGCCTCCCTCTGTACACACCCACACTTCGTTGATACCATTTCTTTTACCTGCATCTGCCCTCGATTTTGGAGCACTTTATTTTACTTTTGGCTGATCTACCCTGGACCTCATCTATCCATCCCCAGTTACCCAGGGAGCCTAGTGTTGCCGCCAACTAGGCTCTGAAGACCCTGACACACGGCTTGTCTTATTCTTGTATAACTCATGCCAACTCATAGAGAAGCCGTCTTTAACCTTCAGTACAACAACACCTTGATAATGGCGCAGTAAAAGATCCTGCGTGTCATTCATGAGGACATCACCCACAATAATTTCTTGTTGTCACCCTGCTAATTTCGACTCAGAATTTCCTAGTTGTGTTCTAAGCTCCAGATGAAAACTACTAGTGTTCAATTCACCACAGATCATTCTCTGGTGTGCTTGCTGCTCATTTGTGATTAAGACAGTAGCGTTGCCTCTGGAATATCACCAGGTGAGTGTGGTATCCGTGCATAATACCCCCCCCCCCCCTCCCTAGGTAATCAAACGCTTTACCAGACAGGCTTTATTGATCAAATAATTACCATACAGTTACATCCTGCAATAATACAACCCATATGTGAATGTCTCCTCAGTGGTAACAGGAGAGTTCGACTCGTCATCTAGCTATTTGATCATTTTTAATCTTACCAGCTGATTTAGAGTTAAACATAAAAAACAACACTACGCTTGTCAGTCAAAAGCCGAAAATGGCGTCCAATGAGGTAGTGTCGCCACTTCCTTTGAGCTTCAACAATGGCATGGGCTTCCTTTTCCAATGACTAGTGCCTCTGTTCATTATTTGAAAGCGTTCGGGAGAAGAAGTTCATTCTGAGTTTGGGTAACGGCAATGGCGTTATCTGAAGCATCAGTATTCACAGCGAAAGGAGCTGTTGGGTCAAGTGCTCGAGACATTACCTTTGCAATGTCTCGTCTCAATCCTTCAAGTACTTTTGCAGTGGCAGCAGATAAGGAAAACCCATTGGAATGAGAGAGGGAGCGGATCTTTTCAGAAAACCCCCGCATCTAAAGGGATTAAGGTACAAGCATTCCCATCGTTCTGCACAAAGATCCTGTGTCGCTTAAAGAAGAAGTTTTAACAGTTTCGAAGCGTTCCGGATCAGGTCTAATTTCTTCTTCTTGTATAACATATCCCAATAACTTTATAGACCGGAGTTGACAAGTACACTTTTCAAGACAAGTACACTTTTCAGGGTCAGGTGATATCTTTTTGTAACGTCCATAAAATGTTTCAGAGTTTTATCATGGTCTTCAGAATCTCCACACACACACACACACACACACACACACACACAGATATCATTTACTTAAGCAAAAGTACCCTCAACACTCTTTTTCACTAGAATGCCATCAATTACTCTTTAAAAACTGGCCACTCCAATATTGACTCCAAAAGGGATACGATTATATTTAATAAGCTTTCAACAAGCTTCGAAGGCTGTAAAGAGTTTTTTTTCCTCTTGTAGACCCACTTGATGGTAAGCATTTCTCAAATCCAGCGCTCTGTTTACTGTAAATCAAGCAACATTATTCACTTAGCCCGTCCTCCTCCTCAGGTTTCACAACGTCAAGAAAACGGTCAATATAAATTTTCCTCTTCTAACTAACCAGACATCGACCATGCTTGATTTTATTTCAGACTTTAGGCTCCTTTTTGCGACTCGTAGAAAACGTCAGCCGATAATTTGATGCTCTGTCGCAGCTCCAAAACTTAATACTTTAATCTGGCACTTAGCACAAGAATCACGCATTTAACACCCTAAACATCGATCTCTAAAGTTAGAGCTGTAAAATCAATCGCTCTAAGAGCATGTACAAGAAGCTGGACACATGAGGTACAGGTGTGGCTAACATTTGCAATAAGCTTGACAACATGGATAAGAATCTTGGGGGCAAATTAGACAGTTTGAATGACAGTTTGCAGAGCCTTGCAGTGATCATATTGCTTCCTACATCTAGACGTATTCCTTCGCTTAGGGGGTTTATAGCAGTGTTACACCTGTGGTAAGGACGGCCATTATGCTAGTGATTGTCCTGGTGAAGGAGAGGTGTAGGGAGGCAACCATTGGGAAGAAACATATAGCCACAAACCAAGAGTTTCTTCCAATGATGAATAGCTGATTACTTTAGACATGACCTAGACTTACCTCCGACCCAGCCACCATCAGGTCTATAACACCCCCACCTTCCTTCTTGCGATGATTTCGGGGTTTAAGTGTCCCCGCGGCCCGGTCCTCGACCAGACCTCCACTCCCAGGAAGCAGCCCGTGACAGCTGACTAACTCCCAGGTACCTATTTACTGCTAGGTAACAGGTGCATCAGGGTGAAAGGAACTTTGCCCATCGTTTCTCGCCGGCGCCCGGGATCGAACCCGGGTCCACAGAATCACACGTCCAGTGTTCTGTCCGGTCAGCCACTGGCTGAGTAACCCTTGGTTACGAGCACAGACTGTTTTATGTAAACAGACATCAGGGGTCAGCAGGATTATCCCTTTACCTTTTGAATACCCTGGGGAACGTAACCTGATTCTGACAGGCAGTGCCTTCGAATGCTAGAGTGCAGGACCAGGGAAGAGTGAGGCTCAGGAATAGCATACAGAACAAGGGGAATAGAGTGCAGCTTAGGAATAGAGTGAAGGACAAGGGAAGAGAGTGCGGCTCAGGATTAGAGTGCGGGACAAGGGAAGAGAGTGCGACTCCGGAATACATGATAGTAGAACTGCCTGACAGAGGGCAGAAGGCAACCCCGACCAATATTCAATCATCTGGAGAAGAGGCAAAAAAAGACACAACTCATTCAGGAATTGACTAAGAAATTAGTTCAAGGGCAGAAACAGCAGATGCTAACGAGGAGATTTAATGGAGTCCATCAACGATGGCCGAGAGCTCCTCAGGTGAGGTTTCTTCAGTGCTCAAGTGCAGGACAGGAACAGAAAAGACACTTCAGCGTTTCAAATTGATGCTGAAATTGTTGTTCTCTGCCGAAGAAGGAACACAATCGAGGAGCAGCGCTTAGTCGTGAGGGCCGTTGTTAGGGAAGGATCCCTTGGAGCGAATCTCTCGGAACTGAAGGACCTTAATTGCTTGCAGTTATCAGAAGGGATCAAGATAGTGGCAAGAGGAGTGATGAGCGTAGGGCTGAAGAAACAAGGTGAAGTAAGAAACTGATGGAAGGGTAGGGAACTATCAGGGGGGAAGCGCCAAGCCATTAAAACTACATAGCACTTGGAAATGATCAGGATAAGGATTTGGGATGCCATTCCTTCCGGGGGGAAGGAATGGTGCCCAGCCACTTAAACGGTCGGGGATTGAGCGCCGACCTGCATGAAGCGACTATCTAAACTAAAATATGGAAAACTATCACCTCAGTTTAATTAAAATATACTGTAAATACGTAGTTATATAATTCTGAAACATTAATTTGTTACTTTTTATGAATGAACTTAGCAATCTTTTTTCTACCAACTTCCCATAGGCCTAGATATATGACGCCCAGCTATCCATTTTAGGAAACATTAAATCAAGCGTTACTCTCTTTAACCTACACTTACTTTATAGTGACAGGAGGAGTGTGAAAGGGGGCAAATTTAAAATGCCGCTGGCGAAAGCATTTGCCTCCAGATTATATCCGGCAGTGATTAGCGGCGCCGAGCCCTGGGCAGTGCCCGTCCGTCAGTGGACACCTACACCACGTTGATGCCACAGGTCTTATGGGCCCTGCCCTCATCTTAGGAGCCGTCTATTTTACTTCTGTCTGACCTTCTCTGGACCTTGTCTATCATCCCCAGTTACCCAGTTAAGGGGCCTCGTAGCCTGGTGGATAGCGCGCAGGACTCGTAATTCTGTGGCGCGGGTTCGATTCCCGCACGAGGCAGAAACAAATGGGCAAAGTTTCTGCCCCTGAATGCCCCTGTTACCTAGCAGTAAATAGGTACCTGGGAGTTAGTCAGCTGTCACGGGCTGCTTCCTGGGGGTGGAGGCCTGGTCGAGGACCGGGCCACGGGGACACTAAAGCCCCAAAATCATCTCAAGATAACCTCAAGAAGATAACCCAGGGCACCTAGGCGTTGCTGCTAACATGGCTTTGATGATTCCAGACTCAAGATGAACCTTATATCTTGTATAACCCTAACCACAGTGTGGAGCAGACGTCATTATCCCCTAGTGTGGCAACACCTCTGCAGCTATTCAATTCAGTCAACACCTTATCCATACACTTAAAGGAAGAAAATATATGGTTACCTTTGAATTTTCGATGCACCTTCCACAAGGAGCAGCATGGAGTTGGTGATGGAGAAGGTGTTGTGGAGGACGTGCAGGTGGTGGAGGGGAAGGCGGGTGACCACCAGGAGCCTCGTCGACCACACCAGGAGGCCGCTCTTGAGGGACCACTGGGCGACGGCGGCGAGGAAGGCGAGGTCGTCACTCACCACCACCACCGTAACGCACCATGACGCCTGCCGCACCTGTTGACGTCAACATGGTAGACCTTATGTGAGTGACCAACCCGCCTCATCTGTGATGTGTGAGTGACCAACCCGCCTCAGTTGTGATGTGTGAGTGACCAACCCGCCTCATCTGTGATGTGTGAGTGACCAACCCGCCTCATCTGTGATGTGTGAGTGACCAACCCGCCTCATCTGTGATGTGTGAGTGACCAACCCGCCACATCTGTGATGTGTGAGTGACCAACCCGCCTCATTTGTGATGTGTGAGTGACCAACCCGCCTCTGTTGTGATGTGTGAGTGACCAACCCGCCTCTGTTGTGATGTGTGAGTGACCAACCCGCCTCTGTTGTGATGTGTGAGTGACCAACCCGCCTCATTTCTGATGTGTGAGTGACCAACCCGCCTCAATTGTGATGTGTGAGTGACCAACCCGCCTCAATTGTGATGTGTGAGTGACCAACCCGCCTCATTTGTGATGTGTGAGTGACCAACCCGCCTCATTTCTGATGTGAGAGTGACCAACCCGCCTCTCTTGTGATGTGACAGTGACCAACCCGCCTCTCTTGTGATGTGAGAGTGACCAACCCGCCTCAGTTGTGATGTGAGAGTGACCAACCTGCCTCAGTTGTGATGTGTGAGTGACCAACCCGCCTCAGTTGTGATGTGAGAGTGACCAACCTGCCTCAGTTGTGATGTGAGAGTGACCAACCCGCCTCAGTTGTGATGTGTGAGTGACCAACCCGCCTCAGTTGTGATGTGAGAGTGACCAACCCGCCTCAGTTGTGATGTGAGAGTGACCAACCTGCCTCAGTTGTGATGTGTGAGTGACCAACCCGCCTCAGTTGTGATGTGTGAGTGACCAACCCGCCTCAGTTGTGATGTGTGAGTGACCAACCCGCCTCAGTTGTGATGTGTGAGTGACCAACCCGCCTCTGTTGTGATGTGTGAGTGACCAACCCGCCTCTGTTGTGATGTGTGAGTGACCAACCCGCCTCAGTTGTGATGTGTGAGTGACCAACCCGCCTCTGTTGTGATGTGTGAGTGACCAACCCGCCTCTGTTGTGATGTGTGAGTGACCAACCCGCCTCATTTGTGATGTGTGAGTGACCAACCCGCCTCTGTTGTGATGTGTGAGTGACCAACCCGCCTCTGTTGTGATGTGTGAGTGACCAACCCGCCTCTGTTGTGATGTGTGAGTGACCAGCCCGCCTCATTTCTGATGTGTGAGTGACCAACCCGCCTCATTTGTGATGTGTGAGTGACCAACCCGCCTCATTTCTGATGTGAGAGTGACCAACCCGCCTCTCTTGTGATGTGACAGTGACCAACCCGCCTCTCTTGTGATGTGAGAGTGACCAACCCGCCTCAGTTGTGATGTGAGAGTGACCAACCTGCCTCAGTTGTGATGTGTGAGTGACCAACCCGCCTCAGTTGTGATGTGAGACTGACCAACCTGCCTCAGTTGTGATGTGAGAGTGACCAACCCGCCTCAGTTGTGATGTGTGAGTGACCAACCCGCCTCAGTTGTGATGTGAGAGTGACCAACCCCGCCTCAGTTGTGATGTGAGAGTGACCAACCTGCCTCAGTTGTGATGTGTGAGTGACCAACCCGCCTCAGTTGTGATGTGTGAGTGACCAACCCGCCTCAGTTGTGATGTGTGAGTGACCAACCCGCCTCAGTTGTGATGTGTGATTGACCAACCCGCCTCTGTTGTCATGTGTGAGTGACCATCCCGCCTCTGTTGTGATGTGTGAGTGACCAACCCGCCTCATTTGTGATGTGTGAGTGACCAACCTGCCTCAGTTGTGGTGTGTGAGTGACCAACCCGCCTCTGTTGTGATGTGTGAGTGACCAACCCGCCTCAGTTGTGATGTGAGAGTGACCAACCTGCCTCAGTTGTGATGTGTGAGTGACCAACCCGCCTCAGTTGTGATGTGTGAGTGACCAACCCGCCTCAGTTGTGATGTGAGAGTGACCAACCTGCCTCAGTTGTGATGTGTGAGTGACCAACCCGCCTCTGTTGTGATGTGTGAGTGACCAACCCGCCTCAGTTGTGATGTGAGAGTGACCAACCTGCCTCAGTTGTGATGTGTGAGTGACCAACCCGCCTCAGTTGTGATGTGTGAGTGACCAACCTGCCTCAGTTGTGATGTGAGAGTGACCAACCTGCCTCAGTTGTGGTGTGAGAGTGACCAACCTGCCTCAGTTGTGATGTGTGAGTGACCAACCTGCCTCAGTTGTGATGTGTGAGTGACCAACCTGCCTCAGTTGTGATGTGTGAGTGACCAACCTGCCTCAGTTGTGATGTGTGAGTGACCAACCTGCCTCAGTTGTGATGTGAGAGTGACCAACCTGCCTCAGTTGTGATGTGAGAGTGACCAACCCGCCTCAGTTGTGATGTGTGAGTGACCAACCCGCCTCAGTTGTGATGTGTGAGTGACCAACCCGCCTCAGTTGTGATGTGAGAGTGACCAACCCGCCTCAGTTGTGATGTGAGAGTGACCAACCCGCCTCATTTCTGATGTGTGAGTGACCAACCCGCCTCAGTTGTGATGTGAGAGTGACCAACCCGCCTCAGTTGTGATGTGTGAGTGACCAACCCGCCTCAGTTGTGATGTGAGAGTGACCAACCCGCCTCAGTTGTGTTGTGAGAGTGACCAACCCGCCTCATTTCTGATGTGTGAGTGACCAACCCGCCTCATTTCTGATGTGAGAGTGACCAACCCGCCTCATTTCTGATGTGTGAGTGACCAACCCGCCTCAATTGTGATGTGTGAGTGACCAACCCGCCTCATTTCTGATGTGTGAGTGACCAACCCGCCTCATTTCTGATGTGTGAGTGACCAACCCGCCTCAGTTGTTATGTGTGAGTGACCAACCCGCCTCATTTCTGATGTGTGAGTGACCAACCCGCCTCAGTTGTTATGTGAGAGTGACCAACCCGCCTCATTTCTGATGTGTGAGTGACCAACCCGCCTCAGTTGTTATGTGTGAGTGACCAACCCGCCTCAGTTGTTATGTGTGAGTGACCAACCCGCCTCAGTTGTGATGTGTGAGTGACCAACCCGCCTCAGTTGTTATGTGTGAGTGACCAACCCGCCTCAGTTGTTATGTGTGAGTGACCAACCTGCCTCAGTTGTTATGTGTGAGTGACCAACCCGCCTCAGTTGTGATGTGAGAGTGACCAACCCGCCTCATTTCTGATGTGTGAGTGACCAACCCGCCTCAGTTGTTATGTGTGAGTGACCAACCTGCCTCAGTTGTTATGTGTGAGTGACCAACCCGCCTCAGTTGTTATGTGTGAGTGACCAACCCGCCTCAGTTGTGATGTGAGAGTGACCAACCTGCCTCAGTTGTTATGTGTGAGTGACCAACCCGCCTCAGTTGTGATGTGTGAGTGACCAACCCGCCTCAGTTGTTATGTGTGAGTGACCAACCCGCCTCAGTTGTTATGTGTGAGTGACCAACCTGCCTCAGTTGTTATGTGTGAGTGACCAACCCGCCTCAGTTGTGATGTGTGAGTGACCAACCTGCCTCAGTTGTTATGTGTGAGTGACCAACCTGCCTCAGTTGTTATGTGTGAGTGACCAACCCGCCTCAGTTGTTATGTGTGAGTGACCAACCTGCCTCAGTTGTTATGTGTGAGTGACCAACCCGCCTCAGTTGTGATGTGTGAGTGACCAACCCGCCTCAGTTGTGATGTGTGAGTGACCAACCCGCCTCAGTTGTTATGTGTGAGTGACCAACCTGCCTCAGTTGTTATGTGTGAGTGACCAACCCGCCTCAGTTGTTATGTGTGAGTGACCAACCCGCCTCAGTTGTGATGTGAGAGTGACCAACCCGCCTCATTTCTGATGTGTGAGTGACCAACCCGCCTCAGTTGTTATGTGTGAGTGACCAACCCGCCTCAGTTGTTATGTGTGAGTGACCAACCCGCCTCAGTTGTGATGTGTGAGTGACCAACCCGCCTCAGTTGTTATGTGTGAGTGACCAACCCGCCTCAGTTGTTATGTGTGAGTGACCAACCTGCCTCAGTTGTTATGTGTGAGTGACCAACCCGCCTCAGTTGTGATGTGTGAGTGACCAACCTGCCTCAGTTGTTACGTGTGAGTGACCAACCTGCCTCAGTTGTTATGTGTGAGTGACCAACCTGCCTCAGTTGTTATGTGTGAGTGACCAACCCGCCTCAGTTGTGATGTGTGAGTGACCAACCTGCCTCAGTTGTGATGTGTGAGTGACCAACCCGCCTCAGTTGTTATGTGTGAGTGACCAACCTGCCTCAGTTGTGGTGTGTGAATGACCAACCCGCCTCAGTTGTGATGTGTGAGTGACCAACCCGCCTCAGTTGTGATGTGTGAGTGACCAACCTGCCTCAGTTGTGGTGTGAGAGTAACCAACCCGCCTCAGTTGTGGTGTGAGAGTGACCAACCCGCCTCAGTTGTGGTGTGAGAGTGATCAACCCGCCTCAGTTGTGGTGTGAGAGTGACCAACCCGCCTCAGTTGTGGTGTGAGAGTGACCAACCCGCCTCAGTTGTGATGTGTGAGTGACCAACCTGCCTCAGTTGTGGTGTGAAATTAACCAACCCGCGTCAGTTGTGGTGTGAGAGTGATCAACCCGCCTCAGTTGTGGTGTGAGAGTGACCAACCCGCCTCAGTTGTGATGTGTGAGTGACCAACCTGCCTCAGTTGTGGTGTGAAATTAACCAACCCGCGTCAGTTGTGGTGTGAGAGTGATCAACCCGCCTCAGTTGTGGTGTGAGAGTGACCAACCCGCCTCAGTTGTGGTGTGAGAGTGACCAACCCGCCTCAGTTGTGGTGTGAGAGTGACCAACCCGCCTCAGTTGTGGTGTGAAAGTAACCAACCCGCCTCAGTTGTGGTGTGAGAGTGACCAACCCGCCTCAGTTGTGGTGTGAGAGTGACCAACCCGCCTCAGTTGTGGTGTGAGAGTGACCAACCCGCCTCAGTTGTGGTGTGAGAGTGACCAACCCGCCTCAGTTGTGATGTGTGAGTGACCAACCTGCCTCAGTTGTGGTGTGAAAGTAACCAACCCGCGTCAGTTGTGGTGTGAGAGTGATCAACCCGCCTCAGTTGTGGTGTGAAAGTAACCAACCCGCCTCAGTTGTGGTGTGAGAGTAACCAACCCGCCTCAGTTGTGGTGTGAGAGTGACCAACCCGCCTCAGTTGTGGTGTGAGAGTGACCAACCACTGTCAGCAGTAATGTGAGAGTGATCTACCTTCCGAGCCTCGCCGACCACCTGGGAGAGCTGTGCCAGCGTCACGTTAGCGTCCGGGCCGCCCGCTGACACCTCGAAAACTGACAAACCCGATGAAAAGTTCTTTTCTCCTGTTACCTAAATTGGATCAATAATTACATAAACATACATAAATGAATTTAAAGTATTGGGACTATTGCCAATTTTTATTTGTTTACATATTTGGAGACTGGAATGCAATCTTACTTACTGATATTAGAAATGAGTTGTAGGTGCGGTCATCAGTAAGGAAGATAACAGAACAGAGATGCTGCGGTTCTCTAACAAGCACATCTCCCAGAACACTGGGTGCATGTGTCAGGGAATCATCGTCATCTGTAAACAAATTGTTCTCTATAAACTGAGTAAACATTAGGGCTAAACACTCATTATCTCATAATATCGGATGGTGTGATGTAGGGCTTACCAGAGGTGCCTGGCAGATGACACGCAGCCAAAAGTGTTTGAGAAACAAGTATGAGCAGCGAGGGTTGTACTGTCAGCGCCATTCTTACTTCGCTACAGGTGGCTGCACACACAGAAAACAGGTGTTAATATTGTATAATTATTATTGTATTTTTACATTTTAAAAGTTGCTTTGTAGTAAACAAGAGATGCATTTCAGAACGGTAGGTATGTGTAGCATTTATTGTTGTTGTTGAATTTAATATTTAATAATTAATTTTTACTATCAGGATTTATGAATTGTTGAAGTGACTGTTTTGGTTGCTAACCAGTTTTCTGGCTGGTAACCGTCATCCAACTTTCATGCGATGCTCTAGCTTTGTTCGTCGTATCAAAGTAATATTAGAATACAAACTACTGAATTGTAACCAGTCTTTGAAACAATGCTATGATTCCACGTCTATTATGTTACGCTGTGATTCATTTCATTAATCTACAACCTTATTTTCCACCTAGTATTTACCATTGTCTTTTGAGTAAACTTAATCATTACAACATGATATGATTTGGGAAAGGTGAAGGATTTCCTATCATAGGTGGAGTTATGCCAAGGGACAGTGTTATAGTTATGAAACGCACTTCATCAACAACTGTGTTACGGCCTCACAGCCAGGAACTCGGGTTCTTTTCCGTAGCTCTCTCTATAGAGCCTTCTTCTTCTTGAGATCTTGAGGATATCTTGAGATGATTTCGGGGGCTTAGTGTCCCCGCGGCCCGGTCCTCGACCAGGCCTCCTTTTTGTTGCACCCCCCTCCCCCCTCCCCCCAGGAAGCAACTCGTAGCAGGTGTCTTACTCCCAGGTACCTATTTACTGCTATGTGAATAGGTGCATCAGAGTGAAAGAAACTCTGCCCATTTGTTTCCGCCTCCACTTGGGATCAAATCCGGAACCTCAGGACCACGAATCACGAGCGCTGTCCACGCAGCTGTCAGACCCCTCTGACAGTCTTACTTCCTCTTTCTTCACAGATCCAACCCCAAGTCAGTTACTAAGAACTGAGCAGTAATTGACAACTAAAAGGAGGAAGGGGGCTAAACAACACTAGACAGTCCCCATCACCAACTAAATCTACTTAAATTTATGTACAGGTAATTATTTACAAGAAATATACACCAATATATATATATATATATATATATATATATATATATATATATATATATATATATATATATATATATATTTATATATATATATATATTATATATTTATATATATATATATATATATATATATATATATATATATATAATATATATATATATATATTTTATATATTATATATATATATATATATATATATATATATATATATAATATATATATACATATATGTATATATATATATATATATATATATATATATATATATATATATATATATTTATTTATATATATATTTTATATATATTTATATATATATTGGTGTATACTGGCAGAAGGTTTTCTTTCAAACATGTTTCATTGAATATGACCGCATATTCTGTATTTATTATTTTCTGGTTTAGGGCTTCTATCCCTCTAACTATTTTCTTAGCATCAGGACTTAGTTGAAATAGGAGTTATCCAAAACTCATTTTCGTACTTTTAAGGTGAAGAAAAGAAGTGATTTACTATAGAGTGTATTACACTTATTTATACAATTTGCACAACGTTTCGAACCTCCATGGTTCATTCTCAAGTGAACAGATCTTACAATGCTGGTTGATTTTATACCCGCACTGGGTTAGGTGATAATACAATAAAGGTGAATACATGGGGGGATACATAAGGGATAAATGGGAGGTGAAACATAGAGGTAACTGCAGAAGGCTTATTGGCCCATGCGAGGCAGCTCCTATCTAAACACAAAGATTAATCCAGTGTAATTGGCCTGTTATGTTGGACATTGTCTTCTGTGTTGGCATCGTTATGTTCTGGTCTTGTCCTTACTCTCATGGTGGGTAGAGTAAATAGTTCCGTGATTTGGGTGTTCATGGAAGGGGTTTCTATTCTTATGTGAATTGCCTCAAGAATTTGTAATCTTCTTGCATCTTGAGTTTTGTCTATTATGCAAGTATTCTTGTTCAACATTTCTCTTGTTAGAGTGATGGCATTGGCTTGTCTCATGTGATTCCTAGGAGCACCGGATTGAAGATGGCATGTCAAACGCCTCGTCAGCTTGGTCGACGTCATACCTATGTACTTACATTGAAGGTTACATCCTTCGTGGGGGAAAGTGTACATGTATACAACGCTTGACTGCTGTAGAGGGTTCTCCGTCGGCTTCGGGCTGTTTTTGATAAGGAGTTCGGAAGTCTTCTTGGTTTTGTAGAATATTATCAGGTTTATGTTTTGGTTAGGAGTAGTGCTTTTTACTCCTTTACGGATTATTTCTTTCATTATTCTTTCCTCTTTTATATGTTCACTGTGCATGGTTGATTTGTAATATAATTTTATTGGAGGTATTGTGGTTTCTGTTCTAGGTTCTGGATTATACCAACGGTTCAAGTGTCTTCTTATAGCAGCGTTTATTTCCGCGTTGCTATATCCGTTATTCACCAATACCTGAGTTACTCTTTCAAACTCTCTACTCACGTTGCTCCATTCAGAGCAGTGGGTAAGCGCTCGACGAATATAAGCATTGAGAACACTGGCTTTGTATCTTTGGGGGCACTCACTTCTACCGTTCAGGCATAATCCTATGTTGATGGGCTTGGTATATACGTTGGTGCTTAAAGAGGTTCTTCTTTTTGTTATTAGTACATCCAGGAATGGCAGACTGTTATTTTCACTATTTTCATGTGTAAATCGGAGTACTGACTCTCTCTCTAGATATCTTTTTAGGTCAATTAGTTCATCTGAGTCTTTTACTATTACGAATATGTCATCTACATAACGGCAATATACAGTTGGTTTTTGTCTGCTACTGAAGACTCTGTCTTCGATGGTTCCCATATAAAAATTAGCAAAACTCCTAAGGGGGAGCCCATTGCTACTCCGTCTATTTACCATAGGAATGATACTGGACAGAGTATACAGAGACGAGAGCACCCCCAAATTAGACATACCTGAGCCACACTTGAAGAGTCTTCTCGAAGCATGTACAAAGGAAGCCCCTTTCATCAGTCCACAAGGAGACATGTATTTACAAATAGACGGAGTAGCAATGGGGTCCCCCTTAGGAGTTTTATTTGCTAATTTTTATATGGGAAGTCTAAGAAGAAGAGCCCACCAGGAAGGAGCCCTGAGTGTTGGCTAGAAGGAAGACACCACATGATAGATGATCGCAGAGGGTTTTCTGGTGTCCTGTGGGAGTGACACGTTGGGTGCTGTCTGTGGTGTGTATAGACATATATATATATATATATATATATATATATATATATATATATATATATATATATATATATATATATTATATATATATATATATATATATATATATATATATATTTAGTATATTTTGGTACACAGGTACCTGATGTCAGACATCTGCAGAGCTGAAGGAGGCATTTGAGCAGAGTTCCGTGCTGCGTTTTACTTACGAGATGGAAAAGGATGGGAAGCTGCCCTTTCTAGATGTAACAGTCATGGAAAGGAGCGGAGGTTTCCACACTGCAGTCTACACTAAGGAAACAAACATAGGAATGTGCCTAAATACCAACAGCGACTGCCCAGACAGGTACAAGAGGAGTGTTGTTAACGCATATGTCGACCGTGCTCTCAGCCACAGCTCAGAATGGAAGCAAGTCGACGAAGAACTCTGTAGGGTAAGGCAGGTCCTAGTCAATAACGGCTTCTCCAATGGTTTCGTCGAAGACATCATAAGAAGGAAAGTGAAAAGCCATGCAACCTCTGAAGAGACTACTAACACAACACCTATACCCCCTATTAGACTATTTTACAGGACTTCTTTTCCACAGCTCATAAAACGGAGGAAAGGGTCCTGAAAGATATTGTTAATAGAAATGTTATCCCTACAGACAAAAATCAGAGGATACAACTGACGATTTACTATAAAACCAGAAAAACGGCCAGCCTACTCATGAGAAACTCTCCAGACACAAAACAGAACGCTTTAAAAGAGACTAACGTCGTCTATGCCTTCAAATGCCCTCTTGGGGACTGTAAGCTCCAAAAAACCCAGTATATAGGCAAGACAACAACATCTCTTTCTAGGTGTTTAACGATGCATAAGCAACAGGGCTCCATTTAGGAACATATAATCTCTTCCCACAACCAAACCATCGCCAGAGAAATCCTAGTAAACAACACAGAAATCATCGATAGATACAGCGATAGCAGGCGGCTTGACGTTTGCGAGGCACTACACATCAAGAAGTCAACACCAGCAATCAACAGCCAATTATTGCACAACTATATTCTACCCACCTCAAGAATCCGCTCCTATATAGAAGCATCAAGAAATATGGACCAATAGGCTTTCTACAAACATTTCTATTCAATATCCATTGTTTCGTGTTCTGTCTTGTGTTGATGAAATTAATACCCTATTAATACTCTTGTTCTGTCTTGTGTTGATGAAATTAATACCCTATTAATACCACATCTTGTTCTGTCTTGTGTTAATGCCACATCACCCCTTCCACCTCACTCAAATGTAGATATAAAAACGGAGATGCGTAAGTTCTATTCAGTTGGTTGTGTATTTGTGAACTAAAGTCTTTGAAAATGTAATAAGTTTTACGAAACGCGCTCGTGTCGCGTCAGACTAGAAATAAAAATGAATTTTGGAGAATTGATTTTTGATTTACCTCCAACAGTGAAACGAAATGTACGAAAGATTGAGAAAATCGTGTTAGAATTATTAATCTTACTTTTTCGGTCATATTTAATAATATATATATATATATATATATATATATATATATATATATATATATATATATATATATATATATATATATATATATATATATATATATATATATATATATATATATATATATATATATATATATATTTTGGTAGCAGTCTTTCTTGTAAACATATGTTGTTGAATATGACCAAAAGGGTAAGATTAATAATTCAAACACGAAT